TAAATAGTAAAACTATTTGCACCACCAACCAGTGTTTATGATTATGATAATGAATTAAAATAATATGATAACAAATACCAGTTCACAATATCCAGCCTGTCTGGACTGTTTTTGTCCTGTACAGGTAAAATATGACACCAAGCTTCGCACATTCAATTTAGGTGGATTGCATAATATTTAGGTAATCACTTAAATCAATTAAATGGTTACAGCTTACATTTTACAAAACATGATAAAATGTCAAGAACTAAATAGTGAAGCCATAGACATAAAATAGTGGATATACACGTTGTCTGGCAGCTCTAATATGGGAAGAGAATAAATGAGAATGTGGTTGAAACATTACAGTAATGAACTGAGAGAGAGAGAGAAAAGAAAGGGGAGAGCCTAAAAAAGTGGAGGCAGTGGCTCATGAAATAAATTGGCCCAATTACAATAAAGTGTGGCTCTTGGTCAGTGTGCGGGCCGAGCAGTTCATCTTTATTACAATCTGTTAATGAAAATCAATCCTGCTCCTGATAGACTCTTATCTCCACGGCCTCTGAGCGCCTCACACGCAGGAAGATAATAAATTAGGGTAATATTGCCTTTGATGAGGGAGTGAATTGCAAATTATCATAACTTTCCAAGATTTATGATACAGCTGCCTAATTTTCAGGCTCGGTTTTTCCAGACTTGGAGGTGTAGAGGGGCCATTTGTTAAAAAGTTCTGTATCGCAAGACTTATTAACAAATACACAATGCGGAACCTACATGCAGCACATTGCGTATGAAAGATGCAGGTTTGTAGATCTGAGAGTGAACAAATGACCTGTGCGAATGTTAGATTTTGTCTACAGAGTAAAATAGTAAAGAACTTCCTATAAGGCAATAAAAAATAGAAATAAATCAATATGGAACTGCATTTGCAGCCAATTTTACTTGAGTAATGAGATGTTTCCAGATGAAGCTGCAATTCCAACGAGAAAAACTACAAATGAAGATGGGAATTAACATAAAGTGATGTCAGTCGACAAAGAAAGATGTTTCAAGGGAGTGAAATTTGAAGAAAGACAAAGTAAAACATTTTTGAAATCATGAATTGTGCAAAATAACAAAAGGAACGTGTTTTAATCAAGTTAATATGGTCAGTTTTATTCTGCGTTGACTTGAAAGTTACTGTAAACGATTTAAATGGTTTCCCGAACAAGACATACATGAAGCCCCGCCCCAAACCCAACGAATACGAATTTTCGAACACAAGCAGGTCGGTCAAATTTTTATTTGCTGTTTGCAAAGTATTTTAAAGGGGACATAATACACACAGATTCACCCAATCTCGTGTTAATCTTGAGTACCTATAGAGTAGTACTGCATCCTTCATATCTCCAAAAAGTCTTTAGTTTGATCATATTTATAAAATAAAAAGATACAGCTTTACGATTCTCTCAGGAAACAGCCGAGCTCCTGGAGGCGTGCCGTGGGCGGAGCTAAAGATTGACCAGCACTTGACTTGGCGACTGCCAACAAAACACAGACATTTGATCCAGTGGCGGCTCGTGGGTTTTAAAATAGAGGAGGCACACTAATTGTATTGGTCTGGGATCCCTGCCGATTATTATTATTATATTATTTGCTTAACCACTTTAAAATGGCTTTTTGGTTGCTTTTAGTCAGAAAACGTAAAGAAAACGACATACATACAGCAAGATAATATAATTTAACTTACCTGGCCTATCACTTGAAGCAAACATCCATCCAGTGTTCGAACTATACCGTGGACTTTGGGGGAGCCCACTTGTTTTTTTTTTATTAAAGTGGCGCTTTCATGTTATGGTATTACAACTGTGAAATTACAAACAAAAAATACACATTCTGAGACATGAACTGAAATTAATTGTGAATTTTATTAACATTAAATCGTCCTCCTCCCATTTTCACCTCAAAATTATGGGGAAGCTGTGCCTTCCCTGCCTCCCCTGACCAGCCGCCACTGATTTGATGCAGTTTCACTTACCGTCTGCCGTTCTGGATCATGACCGGGATCTTTTATAGCTGGGACCGCTCCATCCTTCAGTATCAAACATGTGCTAATCCAGGGTCAAACTGGGCCTTGTTTATAAAACGTTCCTCAACAAACACGCTTGTGAAACTGCGGTGCTGCTCCGGAAAAACAAACTGCATCTACTGTTTACATAACGTTGGGTTCTTTAGGAAGCTGAACAAAGTTATCTTTCCCTTACAACCAAAAACAAACTTTGGAAACATTCTTCCCGAGCGAGTCCAGTGCAGCGCTGCTGAATGAAGCGCGCTCGTTGATGGCCGCGCTCTTGCTCTCGCTCTGGTCGATGTGTGCGCTTGCGCGCTTTTCCGGGAGAAATGCCCATATAAGGAGTTCCACCCTCGTTTACGTCATGAAGAGCCACGATCGAAAAAAAACTCTCCGAAACTTGTACGAACCCGGAAGTAAGATTTTTAGCACCGAAATACTCCGTCATACGTCCAAATTGTTTTTTGAAAATGTGTCCATGCTTAGCATGAGAATCCAACTCTTTAACAGTGTAAACAACTCTGAATGCACGAAACAGCATTGTACCCCCATCTCAGACACCACCTTCAGCAATATCCATCATTAAGTAGTGGCATTTTATGCAAAGTATGCCAAAAAAAAAAACATAACAGCTTTAATGTATCCAGTAAAACTGTAAATGCTTGCGGTTATGGTTTCTAATTGATTAATTAATTAAAAAGGCATTTGTTTAAAGAGAGCCATCCATCTATCAATTTATCAATCAACATGCAGACATGTCCCATGCTGTCTATTTATCTTGCCAAATATCCTATTAATGTCAAATTAAGTTTTCCAGTGTGAATATTAATCACTCTAGAGGCTTATTTGAATTCATTACCCCAATAATTGTCCTTGTTTATTAGATCAAAGTGAACAAGGAACAAAGTGGATTGTCCTTTTTTACACATTTGTTTATATACTTCATTATATACGTATCTAGAACAGAGTAGGTCAAGAGCAGTCATTATAATAACACTAATTAAATGACTGGAATGCACACACACACACACACAGAGACAGACAGAGACACACAGACACACACAGACAAAACGCATAAAAAGTGATATAAAAACAGGCGCTGTACTGGAGTAACAGAAGCATATATCTGTCAGCAGGTTAACTACAGGCCTGCGCTATATGTACAAGATGATTTCTGACAGCTCTTAGTATGAAGAACTTGCCTCTTTTCTTCCCCTCACATCGGGCACAGTTAAAACTTGAGAGTGATGGAGTGCCGAGAGCTGCAAAGTACAAGAGAAGGGCAGTGTTGGAAAATGCTTAGTTTAGCATGATGAATGTGGTTAAACTGACGACATTTTAATCTCTGTCACGGGACACCCGTCATTTCAGAGCAGTTTCCACCCGAGGCCTGAAGGGTCCTTAACATCAGGGAACGGGAACATGAGCAATGGACGCACAAACGACGTTGCTGGAAAAAGTGAAGGGCAAATGTCAACTGCTTTCATGGCTAACCGGTCAGTCCTTGTTTTTGTGTGGTTCAGTTTGTGTCGTTGAGTACAAAAAAAAATCTGTTTATCACCTAAAAATGGCCGAAAACGTTATATTTGAAGTTGAGTTTTTTACTATTTATGCTTATACTGCTGAACTGTTGAAATCGTGCCTTCTGATTGGTTGGCAATGTGTCAATTAATTTATTACTTGATTCTGATTGGTCAATTGAAGCATTCAGCAGTCTGTATGATAACCTTCATAAGCAACCAATTTTTCTAGATAGCACAGGTACGTCTGCAAGATGTCTGTTAAAGATCGCTTCATCTGGAAAGCATCTGCTGTGTACAAACATCTGATAGACGTCTCTAAGATGTCAGTTTTACATACATTCTAAATCATAACCATCTTAAAGACATCTTCTAAACATCTATTTGACATCTGATAAGAAACGTTCTATTGATGTATTGCTGATGAGCAAACACTCTAAAAAAATACGTCTTGCAGATGTAAACACAGATGTCAACTCTCCGTGATGTACGTGTGCTATCAGCGAAGTCTCTCGACTCTCGCATTAGTCTGCTGCCATTTTCTTCAAGTAATTTCACCTTGAATTCTTTTTTCATATCAAGTTATTTATATGGTAGTAGCGGTGTAATAAGCAAGGCGCTAATCACCTTGTCAGGTATATTTTGCTGTAACAAATGGCTGACTGTACATTATCACTTACATAACTGCAGCTCAAAAGACATTCTGGTATTAGTCCACTAAGTTCCTACAAGACTCTTTATCGCTGGTATAATGAAATAGAGACAAAAGAAAAAAAATGACGAGTTACTCGAACTTGCAACTCTATAGCACCCTCTATGAAGAGAAAAGCGTCAGAAGTCAGGGGAAAAAAGTACTCGAGATAGTCACAACTCATTTTTTTTAATATGAAAAACATCAGATTACACAATACAGCAAATATTAGTTGTTTTATACAAACTAAAAAAGATCTAACTAGAGGAAACTGCTTCAAAGCATCACATTTAAAACATTAACATCTATACACAGTGAATGTACACATATAAAACACATATATACACTCTTTCAATATATTATTATATAAAGAATTTGTTTTGTTTTCTCCTTAATAAGCAGAGCAGCTTGAAGAAGTATTTTTCTACCATGACTGTAGCTTAGTGTGTAGATGTATGGACCCAAAAACCAAAAATATATGGATAGGTAGCATTTCATGTAGTTGTTGGATCCGGTGTAGATAATATATTTTCTTATATGCGAGTAGAAAGTTTGAAGTGCACCTAAACTTGTGTGATTCAGAAAGATGTGAGGACATCCTATGTGTTTTTTACGATAATTTCATCCAATAATGTCACATCTGTATCAACAGTTTCCATTCTTTAATCGGTGATAACCTTGAAGATATGCCGATTAGCTGCCTTCATCTTTTCCAGATTCGTGCGATTGTCGAAAGCCTGGAGTGTTCTGCCGTTATCCGTTTTTTTAGAGTAAAACACTACATGTTTCAATGGAAATGAGTCCGTTTGGATCCGTCTCTCACTTGCAGACAGTTTGATTGTTTTTCCAGGAGGGTTTCATGGTTGAAGAACAGTCTGGCTGGTGGGTATTCATCCTCAAGCTGGCGTCTAGACCAGCTCCTTCAGTTCAACAGCAGCATAAGAACCAGAGCTGTGAAAACAGAAGGTATAACTATTGTTCCTCTACTATAAGTGTGTGGAGTCCTGGGTGAACTTTGTTTCAGAGTGCTTGGCGGAAGTGCCTTAAGGTCCTCCAGGGCTCCATACGCAGCCATGGAGAACTCCGGATCTCCTGTCGTGAGAAGATCGAACACGCACGACTGGAAATAAACGTCCTCCACCTGCAGCATCTCTCGACACTTTGTGGTCGCACGTTCCAACATGTCCACATGTGGCGAGAGGCCTGGCTGCAGCTCGCCGCCGTCGTCCTCCCCGTACCATCCGCCTAGTCGCGGCGGACGCAGGCTCTGCTGCCGGTTGAGCACGTGGGCTTTGATGACCTCACTGCGCGGGCAGCCGTGCAGACACAGCTGCAGGCCCCCATTCTCCTCTGCCAAGTCCTCAGGCATGCGGATGGCAAACGTCAGGTAGCGACCGACTTGTCGCACGATGATGGACGTGCCTAGGTAGCGAGCGTGGATCTTCACTTGCCGTATACCTAGACCTCCACTACCCTCCACGATCCACAGGCTCTCTCCTTTCCCACCGCTGCGTGTGCCGTCCTGGAACGCTGACGGCAGGTCCTCGGTGGTGGCCTGGTACACCTTCTGCTCGGTGCAGTCATGGTAGGACTTGAAGATGACGGTTATCTACAGAGAAGATCAAACGAGAAATGGTGAGTAATAGCTCACACTGAAAATCAATACATGAAATTGCTTTCAATTGACTAGAGGATTGTTTCAACATTGTGTTTTTGTGCAGCCTGATTTTTGCTTTAAAAACTATATGTTGGAACGTGTCCTAACCCACCAGGTCAGTGGTGTTTTAGTATTATTTATATACTATTATAATATTTAATTTTCTGAATTAGCTTTTAGTTTTTGCTTTTAATTAAATTTTAGTTTAAGTTTTAGTTATTTTGTTATGTGCTTTTGTCATGAGTTTTCTTTGTAATATTTCTATTTAGCTTTATTTTAATTTCAGTTTTAGTACTTAAACTTATTTCAGTTGGCTGGCAAGGCGAAATTTTTAATTTTCGTTTTAGTTTTGTATCTAATGTTTACATTTTATTTCAGTTTTATTTCAATTAACAAAAACTATTTTTTTTTAGTCAACAACAACAACACAGAACCAAGTACGCAGAAATAAATCAACAAGCGAAAGACAAATGCATTCTAACCAACAGCGACCTCACTGGTCCAAAATCCTGCATCACATTATTACATTTCACAATATTAACATATTAAACATCGAAAATGTTCTGATCGGATGTGATTGCCTCACACTGTGCAGCTTTTTACCTATCAGTGGTGGACAGACAAAAAATATTTTGTATTTCTTAATTATTATTGTTCCTGTTATTATTTCTGTTCTGTCTGCCAAATATATAATCTAAATATGAGGAGGAAAATAATGTAATGTGGATAAGAAAAGAATTAAAAACATTTATGTTAATTAAAATAATGCTTAAATTAATTAAAAATTGATGAACTCAAAAATAAGAAATGTTGGCAAATAACTTAAATAAGTTTAAGTTGAATCAATAAAATTACTAAATGGGAATAAATAAAACAGAACTAAAACCAAAATAAAAAAAATAAACCTAAATACAATAGTAATATTTTTAAAACTAATTTTAAAAAAACTGACAAAAGCACATAGCAAAATTGCTAAAACTTCAATAAGATGAAAACTGAAAATATAAAAATAACAGCAAATTCAAAGTATGAATAAAAACTATAATAGTATATAACTAATATTAAAATAACATTGGAAGAGAGCTTGCCAAACACCTAGCGCTTGAGAAAAAATAAATAAATAACAGATGTCACCACATGATGGCAGTAGAGGACCAGAGAAAAACCAGAATGGACAACTTCGGATCGGCCAGTATCTACGTAATCTAAAACCAAACTCAATGACTAATCAATGGAACGTCCAATGGCACATTTTTATCAAACTCTGATCAAGTCATGGAGCTGTAAACCATCAACTGTCAGTAAAATCAGGTCATATTCTACATGATTAATCCAAGCACGGCCACTATATTTAAAGCTAAAGATATAGCACTGATGCAATGTTTTGTGTCAATTTAGAAACATACCATGAGCTCATCTTGGGCCAAATGATAAATTAATGAGAAATCCTTAAAGATCTTTAAACAATTATTCTCAAGCACTTTTCATGTTAAAGTCAGTGGCCCCCTGAAAGTTTATTAAAATGGCAAGTTTTATGTCCTCTGGTATTATATTACTTTCCCTCCTTTGAAAAAAAAATGCACAGACATTGTCACCCCATGTTACAGTCATACTTCATGTATGTTACCTTCCAGAAACTAACTGTCCGTAACTATAGTCTGAATAATTTATTTTCCATTCCTTCTTTTGTGTCTCCCCCACTCTTTGTGAAACAGCTGGGGGATTCTATTATAGTGTTTTGGTCCTGCATTGTTGCCACGGCTCAACAGTCTAAACCCACATCCCTTAATAGAAGAGAAAAAAATGCCCCCCTAATGACATCATTGTTTGGGCTGACTGTCTGTCTCTCTCAAGCTTTTGGTTTGAATGGTTTCTTTGGACCATGCAAGAACATAAAACACGGCCCCTTTTTCCCCAAAATCCTTAGTTTCAGTTACAATTATATGGTAATCTATTTTAATATTATACGATATAAATTAATATACTTTGCCAAACAGTTTTATATAGTATCAAAGGAAAAGTTCACCCAAACATGTCCTCATGTCATCCAAACCTATGTGACTTTCATTCTTCTGCAAAGAACAAATGAATATATTTTGAAGATTTTTTTGTCCATACAATGAAAGTTAATGGGGTCCAAAACCAACTTTCTTCTGTGAAACATACAAGATGATATTTTTTGAAAAAATGTCTGCGTTTTTGTCTTTACAAAGTAATGGGATTCAAATGTTGGCTTTGGACACTACTGACTCATTGTATGGACATAAAAGTTGAACAATTCTTCAAAATATCTTCATTTGTGCTCTGCAGAAAAAAAGAGTGAGTCATATAGAATACAACACGTGGGTGAGTAAAAGATTGCTTTTCACATTTTCAACACTTGCACTGATGACAAGGCTTCAAAACAACCACCAGTATCATGGTTACTCTCTGCTTTACTAAAGGGACCAACACAGTTTGGAACAGGTCACACTTACACTAAGTTAACACATGCAATTTGTACAACTAACCTTGTTGGTTGCTGTAGCACTGGAGCCTTCAACCACCGGTACATTTGTGACTTGAACCGAAAGGTATCGGTTGTGGATGAGTGGCCAGGCCCCTTCAACCCTACATGTTTGGAACTCATCCCGAAAAGTCCGCAAGTGAGGATCACCGAATAATCCACAATGTCCGTACTTTTTCTGTTGGGCCGCCGGGCCCAAGGCGAGCACCCTGCTTTCATAGTTGCAGACGTCCACCACTGGCGGCTTGGAAGTGCTGGGTGCTTTGGCCGACGACGTTGGACCATCACTGGAGCAGTTGTGCTGTGCAAAGAGCTCTTTAATTCGGAATACAGCGGAGTGGTACACCAAGTCCCCTCTACATCCATGAGCTGTGCGGCGCGTACACAACGAGTAGGCCCTCAGAGCGATGCAGTAGTCACCATCTGGAAGCACCTCTTCTTGCAAGCCACCGGAGGGTGAGAATGAGGCCACGTACTCCGCATTACAGCGCTGGATTCGACATTTTTGGCAGCACACTGTTGAGAATCAAGAAGAATTAGGCATTAATGAGATGCATTTAAAACTGTGAGAGAATCACTATTTGATGGTTGGTTGGTGATGGAGATGTTCATAATTAAAGTTCTTAGCCTTAGATGGTTTCTAGCTACTAAACCTGTTTAACAGCTACCCAACTGCTGTATTTTGTCATTCTGACACATTCATTGGTTGCACTCGAGTCAGCATGGCATCTGAAAAGATAACTACAAGCTGCTGATTGCTATTCCAAACCATGAAAACATTCCTTGTCTGGATTCTTTTTAGTTAAGTTGTTTTATGGATATGGTCTAACAAAAGTGTGAAAATAGTAACTGCTTCATTGGATATGATGATTTTTAACTGTTTTGAACACAGGCCCAACAATAACAAATGTGACGCAATTTGGTAAGCATAAGTAAAAATATGAAAAACTCCCACTGCCAGGACATGGTAATTGTATTCTACAGGGTTTCCACAAATTCTGGCCAATGAATTTCCATGACTTCAGAGTAGTGTACGAGTAATGACTAAAAATATTGCACAATAGCATGGAAGCAGCGGCGTTCACAGGTAAATTAAGTTATTTAATACTTTGTTGATAATAATAATATGGGATTAATATGTACTTTTTTAGAATAGCATACTATTTTTCATAAACTGTTCTATATTACAACTCTGTGGAAATGAATGCAACATCTCTGTGATAAGACGTAGTTTTTGACTAAGCCTAATAGACATATTTGTGAGACACAGATGTATTGCTCATGGTAAAAAAAATAGTGGTCTGCCAGTATGCAATTAATGATATGTTATGAAAAACGTTAATAGTTCAGATCAGCTGGAGTATTTGGTTTCACCTTTCTCACAATGTATGGGTATTTAGTGAATTTGTGGGTTATCATACGGAATTATAAACAATACCTACACTGTTTAAAACAAGAGGAGTTTAAAATGGATTTATACTCGTTTAGCAGTGTAATGTTATTTAACTTTATATATATGACTACTTTTAAATATTAATTACAAAGTTAAAACATTCACTATGTACTGTTATAGGATGGTTTAATTAACAAAAAATATCAATCTGTAGTAAAAACATTTTCAATCTTATTCAGAGCACGCAGCAAAGTGTTTGCTAATTTTTTAACTATACAAAATCGATTTTTGGTTCACACTAATGATTATTTGTTACTTTTTAAGTCCCACTTTCTTCAGTCACGGGCTTTCGAAGTAAACAGCTTCAAACAGCGACGCAGCGAGAAGCTAGTCAGGTTAGAGAAAGTTTTGCCAAACTAATAAAATATCTTACTAAACTAAGCAATACGCTTAAATTACGGCAAATAGGGAGTATTAACTTCAAACATCATTTCAGAAGGTAAGTATAATATTTGGTTATCACTACAATCTTTTTAAAAAATATTCTGGGTTTAAATCTTTTCGCCAAAACGGTGCTAATTTGCTAACGAGTTAGCAGCACAACTCTGGCCTACTGAAGAACTAAACACGTATTAAATGGACAGTACATTAATGTGGGCGATGGGCAATCGCATTAAGTAATACGTTTAAAGTTTGAAAATACTTTTTAGAGATTTTGATTGAACAACAACTCTCCAAACGACAGGGTAAAGTTTTCCCAGCAGTTCTCTCTCCGGGATGGGTGCATGCACATAAGAGCGATAAATACGAGCAAACCGATTTACCTGGTCGGAGTAACAGGCACATAGAAACCACTAAAAGACAAATCCAGTTCCAAAGCTGCCGCTTAGCCGGGTTGAGAGTGCCGCTTCTCCCCATGCCAATCCATTCAGTTTGATTGCAGTTCTCCAACTGCTGCTCATCGGCGTTAGGGCTGCGAGAAATCACACAACTTTTTCATTCCCTTCCCCAGCCACTGTCATTCAAAGGAAAAGTGCTGAAAAGCATCGCATGGGAGGAGCTTCTATTCGCCAGCCCTTTCCATGAATGCTGACAAGTGCTCAGTCACGTCTTTATATGAGTTATGCCCTGCACAATATTGCACATAAAGAATAAATGATTCTGTCTATGAAGGAACGTTTTTAGGTTGCATGAATGCCGTTTTGTTCATTTTTCATTAGTCTTTTGTCGTTTTTAGTCGTTTAAAACTCGTTTTCTGCGTGAATTCATACTACTTCTTAATTTTAATTGTAGAAAAGGCATTTTTGACAGACACATGAAGTGTTAAATTGAACGTGCCAAAACAAACATGGGAACAAACTGTCATAAATTGCATCTCTTTGGGCATCTGAAAGTCTACAAAGCTTATTCTAATGGATGTAATAAGCAGAGGAAAACTAAAGAAATTAAAATAGTTCAGCCTTGCCTGGAGGGTTTAATTTTATGATGGCCTTCAAGATGCTAATCCTACGTGCTCTAGTCTAATATCATGGTTTGTTGAACTACTTTGAGCTGGTTGATGGTTTGATCATGTTTGCAGTAAAGTGCTTTGAGATATGAGGTTACACTGTGGTTATGGGAAAAGAACAAGATATTGCTTACCGTTCGAAATGATTTTGTGGATCCATGGAGACTGTAACCTTGGAGTAAACACAAAATGTACGCATTGATTTATATACATAATATTTGTATATACACACACACACACACACACATCGGTGTCTTAAAACATGTGTGTTACTTAATATATATAATAAAAGACACTGATATTATATCATTACTATTAATATATAGATGTATGATCATATTGTGTCCTTGTATCATCACACATTGGTTGATCACTTGACTTAAAACTACATTTCATTCTCCCGCACAATAATATGTGCATTGATGTAGTCAATGGTAATAGTAATTACCTAAATACTACTACTGGAAAGCTGGCTGCCCCCATAAAGTCATTGCTGTCTCAGGTCTATAGTGGTATTGATACTACAGAGGCATCATTCAGAATTTGGCCACTGAAGCAAATACCTCATTCACTCAGGTGGATGGATCAGTGAGCCCCTTACAAGCACCTCATGCCAGCAGACGACTTGACAAGGCTGATGGGCGGAGAAAGGGTTCTTTCTTTCCCCCACATTTGTGGGCATATTACATTGCATGACCCAGCGAATATACATATTCCTCTGGTCGAAACAAGAAGGAAGCGTGTCAATTACAGAGATGAATCAGGTAAAAGAAATAAAGAAAAATGAGAAAGAGAAGAGAAAGGAATGGAAACGAAGGGATAAGCCAGTACATTTCTCCTGACACTGACTCACTTGTTCTTATACAATAGTGGAATGAGGTCAGTCTGGTAAAATTAGCCATCCGCTTCATGGCAGGACTGAATGCCAGGCCAGTGAGAGGGGACGGAGAGTCTCCGTTTGAGAAACAAGAGAAATAAAGAGACTACATTTTTTTGACAGAGAAGAGAAGAGAAGAGAAGAGAAGAGAAGAGGGTCATTTGCTAAAAGCCCAGAACTCCTACTCAGCGTATAAGTTAACAAAAAGTTGTGAAATGGAAAAAAAAACCTGAACTGAATAGTGGAAATAATGATTGTTTTCAGACAGGTTTCCTGAAGACTCCCCTCATCTGTCATTGTTTGAAGAAACAGCTTGACGACACCTCAATCTCATGCCATTTGTTGAGCTGCTGTTGCTGTTGTCAAGCTGGTCGGGATGTTCAAACAATGTGTATGTAATGCCACAGAATGTTTTCACTCTTCTGGGGAATGAACTTAGAAACTTTCAGTTGTCTCTATTAAGTTGGGATAGGAGAAGGTTTTTAACAGCGAAAACAACTACACACTTCAGCTTTAGGAAAACAATCGCCTGAAGTTTTATTCATGCTATAAATTCAAAGGTGGACGCAAGAGTGAGAGACAAGAGAAGCAGGGAAGTGACTAAAGGAGAGTAGGAGAGGGAAGAAAAAAAAGGAAAAGGAATTGGGTTTCCACTGACTGTATGTCTGGGCAGCTCCATATGGTCCTCATTAAGGTGCTCACTCTGTGGGAGCAGCTCCACACCGCGCTGCTTGTTTTTGTTATTAGGCCCATCACATTTCGGTATGGAGGGCACTGGAATATTGGGCCACTGACAGGTCTTGCCCAGTGGTTCTCAACCAGTGCTGTTATTGTTAACAAAAACAAAAACTATTAAAAACAGTTTTTGCTAATTTAAATAAAAATAAAATATAAATGTTAGATGAAAAATCTTAAACTTAACAAAAATGAGAAATGTTGCCTTGGCAGCTAACTGAAATAAAATAAGTTGAAGTACTAAAACTGAACTAAAGATCAAGCTAAACATAAATAAAAGACTAATAAAAATGACAAAAGCATATAACAAAATAAAACTTAAAATGAAAACGAAAAACTTCAAATTTGTAAAATAAAAACTATTTCAAAATATTAAATACTATACAAATATCATTACTTTTGCTTCTTTACACAGACTGAACACTGGGCATTAGTATTGTAATTCATAATATTATAATTTATAATAATATTCATTGAACTTTGTTTTATCATGTTGTTGGTATATTATTTTAAAAATACATGAAATGGTTTGATTGGACTTGAAGCCCCCTCCTTGAAATATTAATAATAACACAATCTGTTGCATTTTATATTTATATTTGCATGTTTTTTTTGTCCATATCAATTCAGTGAACCACCAGTGAACAAGCAGTTCACATCCACAGCAGTTAAGTAAAGTGTCCTTAAGTTCAACTGTGAGAAATGAGGACTTAAAATGTGTTTACCTACACTGCCGAGCTAAAATGAAACTTTTCTTAGTAGTGCATTCGAGGCATAGATGAGAGATTTGCTTCACTGGTGACAGAGACTCAGAGCAGTTACCATAGATAACAGGAACAGAAGTGTGTGCCTGTAAGAGGCTGCCACTGATACCATCTCTGCTCAAGGATCCCACTTAACTGCCTTGATTGATGCCCAACTGAACTCTAGGGGGTACGAAAAAAGTAGGGTCTTTGTGGGCCCTAAGTGGATTGCTTTCTCTCTGAGAGCTGTTAGGTATTAATTTGTAATGATTGCACTTGAGGTACGTTTAATTGCATTGGAAAAAGTAGTTGCATTTGGAAAGAGTTTCTGTGAACTGACATTGTTGGACTTGATAGATTTGATAGACTGAAAATATTAAGCATTTACGCCTAATTTTAGGTGCTAGCATCTGCTTCCTTCAGGTAATTTGTTTGCAAACACAAAATCCTTTTTTTCCTCACTGCTCCTTAGAGCTATTTCCTTCTACTCAAGAGATGCTGTTGACATAGTGTCAAGCTCAGTCCTTTTTCAAAAAGATAAACACACAAGTAACCTTAGATTCAGGGTCATGGGGTCTTCTCAGTTTGGTGAAGAAAGATAGTGGAAGTAAACAAAGGCATAATGAGGAGAAGCCTTAGATCTCCTCTCTAAGAAAGGCTAAGCTTAAGCAAAGGCAATCTGTGGGATCACCGCTGAGCTGCTGCCATCCATACCTGACAATAGGTGAATCCAAGAGACTTTGTTGTTGAACTTAAGGTTTCTGATTAACAGGAACATATACAGTGTAAAACATTTCAAAGTGACTCCGCTCAAGATGTTTTATCTAACTCAAACAAGTTTTGGTGTAAGTTCAAGCAACTTACTAGTAGGTGGGGTCTGTATGTGTCCTATTTGTAGACAGTCTTTGATGGTATAGGATGTAAGGTCTCTCAAATTGAAAGAAAATATATCGCAGAACCATTTTTGTCCATACAATGAAAGTCAGTGAGGTCCAAAATGTCATCGGACCCCACTGACTGTCATTGTATGGAGCTTAATTTTACTTCAATCAATTTTCCAATGTTAAAATAGAAGAGTTTCAAAGTAGATCTTTAACAATTTTTTTTTACAGTGAATGTTTACATGCACTAATTTTCATCAATATGAATGATTTCAGATTCTGAAAGTTCTGTTTATATGAACCTTAAACAAACCAATTCACATCATCCGAGCCCAGTCACCGAATTCAGAACTGGAGAAAACCACTGCTATAATGTCACTGGAGCTACAGTTTTGCCATGATGACAACCCTAAAAGGAAAGCTGACAAATGTGTCAAATGAGCTGCTTGTTTTGTGCAACGTTTTTTTTTTATCTGATTGAGAAAATAGTTGAATTCAAGCATTTACATGCTTAGTTTTTTCATATTGATCGGATTACTTCAGGTCTATCCTATTGAAATTTAACTTGGATTCAGGTGCTTACATAAAGTATTATCAATCCAGTTACTAACGGATTATTTGGGTGCGTGTAAACATACAGAGTGTATTCTCATAATGTACTGTATAACATTTGTTACCATGGTCAAGTAGTATGCTGACTGATATAACCGCTAAAAGCAGTAACCATTCTAAAAATGTCCACCTATTTGATGCATTTGGAATTGCGAAAATGACTCTGAAAAAGAGATGCATATTGTCTTTTCAAACATTTTTGCTGAAGTACACAGCACAATAACTGATGTGAGAAGGGAAGAATGCGAGAGAGAAGCAATGAAAACTCCCAAAGTTCTCCCGCTCTCTCTCTCCCTCCCACAACAACACCTGCTCAGGCTCTCGTTTCAAACCTCTCAGCTGTGAGAGCATTCTGTGACCAAATAAATCTGTGGAATCCAACGTGACTCCCGCTCCCAGACCTTCAAGTCCAGCCAGTCCGAGCTCAAGCCACGGGAACACAATACATTCAGTGGAGTGCAACAAAGCCCACATCACACTGAGCTTACTAGTAATCTTTTGAGAATTTTGACCTCTACCGATGATTTTTCAATTGCCTGAAATGCAGTTTTACACCCTGACCAGCATCATCTCATTGGAAGGCAGCTGTGTCCCTCCTCCATTCACGATGTTTGAAAATGGACAAACTGCTCTTCTGTGACCTATAACTGTAGACTTGTAGCCTTTGATGTTGCAAAATGTATTTTTGTAGTTCACCCAAAAATAACATTGCCATCATTTACTTGTCGTCATGTTATTTCAAAAACTGTATGCCCTTATTTTTTCAAACTTCAAAAAGTGGTACAACTCTATATTCCAAATCTTCTGTGGTTATATGACAGGTTTGCGTAAGAATCAGTTTAAGTAGTTATTCACTGATAATTGTCTCCTCCATTGAGCTGTTAACCGTTGCAACCAAATAGCAATTCAATTAGGTAAATTCAAGAAAAATATAATATGTAAAAATAAAAAAAAGAATA